TTGCAAAACTCTGGTCAGTGTCTTCTGGCCAGTGAAATTGCTTTCAGCTTCCTGGAGAGTTTGAGGTTGTGGTGTGGATAAGGAAGTGAAATGTGGGCATTATCATGAAAGGTGTGGAGGGCAATGCTGGTAGTTTCACCTGGCTGTGTGAGATGATTTACTCCTGACCTTAAAAACCTTGATGTCATGGATGAAGGAACAAAGCAGAATCACAAGCTTCTACCTGCATGGTTGTGTAGAAATAAAAACATATGCTGACTTCTGTGAGGCATTTTCTTGAGATGAGTTATGGAAAGCTGTTCCAAAACTCGGCAAATCATAAATAAAAACTGTAGTGGATAGAAAACTAATTTTGCCATCGTGCCTTCTAGGCAGGTTCAGTGGCAAGCAGAGCCTGTGCAGTTGCTCATAAATATGTGGGAAGTCAGCGCTGCTGAAATTAGCTCCACCAAAAGGCATCTGAGGAGCTGTCTGTGGCTGTGCCTGGCAGGATGATCCACAGCCACCAAAAGCCAGGAGCTGTGGGGACACCCCAGCTCAGTGGTTTTTCTGTGGTACCAATGCTGCTTTGAACAACAACACCTCCTGCTCCATGCAGGGCTCAGGGCTGAGCTGGGAGGGTCTGCAAAATCAGCACAGGCTCTGCATGCACTTCTGCACAGCATCCTGGAGAATTATCTCCTGGGGAAGAGTGGGAATTTTAAGACATTAGGTACAAAACAAAAGGTAAAAAAAACCCAAAAAGGTGATGTTTGGATTGTGCTGGAAGTACTTAAGAGTGGAAGGGTGTAGAAGTTTACAAGATCTTGTCTCAAACTGTGGAATAGTTCTAATGGGGTGTAGCTTATTATCTCCTTGGTTCAGTAAGTCTATAGTGACTTTAGTAATTTCAATTAAAAACTTCTAAGAAGCTCTTAGGTCTGAAGTTGGGGAAATTTAATTCAATGTAAGTGCTCCAAATGTATGTCAGTGAGTGAGAATCTGTTTTATCTAGGAGGTTATTGTTTGTAATGATCCTTGACTAGCAGCCCATGTAAAACTCCATTTTTTGCATAGATACCAGGACAAGAACATGTATCAAATGCAGTCTAAATTTTCTGGACTGATAGAACAGATCAATCTATATGGCCACCTCTTAATGAAATGCCAGGTTTGAGGGCTTTAATTGGGCATTGTTCTGTAAGGAAATAGGCCAAGGCTAACAGGTCACTGCATAAAAGCACTACAGAGAAATGTCTCGTGACACTGCCAGCCAGGGCCCAGCTCCATCATCAATAGGCAGTCAGATTTTAGGTGTTATCTCATCTTTCAAGGAAAATAGGCTACTGATGTCTTTCAGCTTTTTATTATATGGGCCACTGCATTTTACCACCATCTCAGAAACAGACATCAAAGGACTTCTCAGATTCTTTCTAGTAAGAAAAATAGGTGACTGCAGGAAACTGTGGGTTTTGACCATTGGTTAAATATAGCTTGCAAAAGAATCATCCCTATTTTTTCTGGATGCCACAAGTCACTTGGTTAATTAATGTTTGTTTTTGATTGAACTGCTTTAAGTCAAACTGTGATTAATTCTGGCATAAAAAATATTAAATAGAAAATTACAGTAAAGCACTATTATGTCATAAATTGCAAAAAAGGATGAATGATGCCAGAGAGCAAATCACCATACACAAAGAGAACAAATTGTTCTTGTTCTGCATGGTGGTAGACTTTCCCTTTTGGCCATGAGCATATAAATATTTTAAAAGCAAAGTTGTAAGTCTGTATAGTGATAAATAAGCTTGCAATAACAGAACATCAAATGAATATTCCAAATATCGGTGAAATGTTTTCTCCTAAGTGTCTGTAGTTTGCAAGTAACTGTGTACTCCTGATTTAGGGGGTCTGGATAAGAACTCTCTGTTCTCACACCTGGGTCAATCATGTGTCCAGAGCCTCATGCTCAAGCCCACATTTTGTTTGCTTATATTTACAGATGTAGCAATTTATTAACTAAAAGTCAAGACTTCCACCACTGCAGTAACAGCAGAATTGAGGACACTAAGTTCAGTTTGTTGTTGAAATTCTTTTTCTGGTCTGCTTATATTTAGAGGGAGGAGAATTCTGAAGTTCTGTGTGTCCAGTACTGCCTGAAGTCTTAGAGCAGAACAGCACTGAGTCAGTATGAAAAAGGAAGCTTGTATGTGGTGTTCAGTAAGAATAATCACTTTCAAATAGTTTTCTTAAAATATGTTTCATTTAACTGTTGAGTTTCTGTTAACAGAGTCTGAACTCACATTCTGCCATCAGAGAAGATGGAGAATATAGGTTAAAAGCAACAGCAGTTTCTACAGAAGGAAAAGACAAAACTTGGACTGTTCAATTCACAGTTCTGCATTGAAATTTAAACTAAAACCAGTACATAAAGGTAAAACCTACATAGGAATGATTTTGGTAGGCAGGCACACAGGTGCTGAAAGGAGCTGTGACTAATGCTGCTTTCCCTTCAAAGCAGAAACCATCCTCAGCTGCTGTTCCTGGCAGCCCTTCAGCATCACAGTGGTGAGGACACTTGAGCCTCAAGAGCCCATTTCTCCAGGTTGAGTTTCTCTGTGTTTCCAGGGGAATTCCCCCTCACGAAAGCACATCTCGCTGTCTGATCAGCTGGCAGCATCTCAGACTCGAGCCCTGTTCACTGAAAGCAAGGAAAGAATGGGTTCTCAGAAGAGAAGAATGGGTTCTTTCCCTAGAAGGGAAGGAATGGCTTCTCAGCACCCTCAGGTTTGATCACAATAAATATCCAAGGCCAGCTCTTCCCTGCAGTGCTGGGCAGGTGTGGAATTGGCACGAATTTGGCACTGAGCTGTTTGCAGCTGCCAGGAGTGTTGGCTGCTGCTGGGCTGCCCCTGCCATCCCCAGGCTCAGGGGACAGTGACAGCCCATGGGGACTGTCCTGGGCTGGCCTTGCAGCTGTGCCTTGTCCCAGAAGAGAGGACATCCCTGCACATGCTCCTAGTGCCTTTTTGCAATGAGTTACAACTATCTCCTTCAACTGCTGGAGTTAATTGTGTTTGTTAATAATGATTTTTCAGTTTTCAAAACAAAAATCCTGTGTTCATCTTAATACCTTGCTGTCACTGTGCAGGCAGTCCTGAGCATGTGTTTGTGCATGCAGGGATTTAATTAAAACCTTAATAACGAAATAATCAGCACACAGTCTGGGTGTCTGTGAGATAGCACTGTGGGGACATTTCCTGAGTTCCTCAATTGCACAGCACATTGCTGTGTTCTGGTTTTGATGTGGGTAATCGTGCTCCAGCATTGCTGGTAAGGTGTGTGTAGATTACAAGGCAGCTGGAGCAGTGAGCCCAAGAGCAGTGCTTTGCTCAGGCACTGTTTGAGGCATTTCCTTTGATCATGCCACAGCTGGGAGACACTCACATGTCCTAGAGACCAAGACTAAAGTATTCACATTACCGTGCCTGAAGAGAGTTTCGTAAACAGAAGTGCCCTGATTACTTTTCCAGAGATACAGAAAACTTATTTTTAAATTTTTCATGCTTTGCAAAGTGTCTCTCACAGTGTGGGTGGCACTCAGTGTTTTGGGCATTGGTCACTCCTGTAGGTTGGGTGCTCAGCAGAGAGGAGCTCTCTCCCCAGCTGTCCCTCTGCACTTCAGCTGCAGGGCAAATTCCCACTGGACTCCTGCTTTTGTCCCACATCCATCCCATGCTGGTGAAGCTGCACACACTGGTCCTCTGTGGCTCAGGAAGGTGTCCCCAGGGGCATTTGGGCCAGGCAGCTGCTGTGGCCCAGCCTGGCCTTGTCTGTATGGGCTGAGCTGGGCTCAGTGAGTGCCAGGCAACCCTGGCCTACACTGCAGCAGTGGCAGGGGCTGCTCCAGGGAAAGGGGCTGTTCCAAGGAATGGGGCTGATCCAGGGAATGGGGCTGCTCCAGGGAATGGGGCTGTTCCAAGGAATGGGGCTGCTCCAGGGAATGGGGCTGCTCCAGGGAATGGGGCTGTTCCAAGGAATGGGGCTGCTCCAGGGAAAGGACTTGTTTTGCCTTTTGCCTTTGCTTTTGCCTTTGCTTTTGCCTTTGCCTTTACTTTGCCTCTGCCTCCTCTGCCTGTGCCCTTGCCAGCAGCACAGCAATGGCCATTTCAGAGGTGACAGCAGAGCCTCATGCCTGTGTCCCCTGCTCTCTTGGGTGAGCATGGCCATGAGACCTTGGCCCCACGGCTCAGCCCTCCCATGCCAGAGAGAGGAGCCACACCACGGTGCACACAGCAAATGTGTGCTCACCTTTTTGTATCTTTTCAGCACACCTTGCTAGAAAATAGAAGATCTGAGGGAGTATCCTGGTGAGCAGCGGTGTGAGGCAGGGACAGCCTTGGCGGCTGTGGCTGCCCCTGGTTGCTGGGAGCAGTGTCCTGCCCCATGAGTGAGCTCACTGCTCTCCTTGGGACAGGCTGACAGGAACAGATGTGTTCCACACCTGACCTCTGTTTTTCTATAGCTCCTGAGCACATTTTTAATTTAAAATTCTGCTCTTTCCCATAAAAGGTAAAGAAGATGTCAAGGTCTTGCTGTTCCCATTCCAAATGGAATGGGTTCATGTCCTGTTAATCAAGAAGTACAGACGCAGCATTTGTCATTTCCCTCTAAAGTAATGGGTGGTTGATACCTGTCATTTCTCAAGAAACTATATACCAGATTATGGGGTATTTATAGAAATCTCAATTGCTGGTAACTTGGCTGAAGCCAAGTTTAGGCATACCATTAGTAGCACATAATGAAATGACCTCAGTGGAGTCAGATTTGGGAGGGAGAGGAAAAAGCTATTTGAGCTGAATAGCTTGAGGATGCTGTTTTACTATTAAAATTAAGCTTCTGACCCCTGGCACTGAAGTGATAAAAATGAATCTTCCTATATTTCTCTTTTGCATTTAATCTTCTATATTGGAAAAGATAAAAAAATCAAATCTCCTTCTCTCCCTTGTCTCTTTCTCTTCTAGGTACAGGACCTATTTATGCTACAGACCCACTCCTATACATGTCCCTGTTAATACTGCATAAGCTTGTACATTTATTAGTAAACCACTGACGGACTGCTCCCTCCACTCCTCCTCAGCCAAACAGAAAGGAACCTATTTAATAACAAACACAACCCCTGACAAAGAAATCCCTACTGTTTTAAAGATGGACAGAAAGAGACTGAAAGAAGCATGATAAATTCTACATGGGGGGAAAAACATATTTTTGGGGATGCCACAAGAAAGTAAACCACATAGAATAATGCATCTAGTTTCCAGACTTGATGGTGTAAAGCCCTGCTCTGTGCATGGCACTTATGATTTCTCTATTTTAATGTAATATTTTTTTCTTTTCTAAACCTTCCCTCTGACTCTTCATTTTGCACGAACTGTTGAGCAGTTATCTTTATGACAATATGTAAAGATGTTGGGTCAAACCCTTCCTAAGAAAGGAAATATTTTTAGTAGATTATTGTGTTTAGGTTTTTTTGGATTTCCTTTTTCTTTTTTAATTAAATTATTTCTTTTGGAGACATTAAAAAGGTACATCTTACCATAATTAATATTCACTGTCAATAATATTTATTTTTAAATGAAGATTGGAAACAAGGTAAGACATTTGTTTATAAACTGTATTGTATATTGCTGAATAACAGTTGAATAAAAAGATTTTGAAATAAAGTTTTTACAGATGTGTGTGCCTTTCCCTGTGTCCTGAATGTCCCTGAGAAGGCTTGATGGCTGCATCCCTTCCATGCCTTGAGAAAAGATGCAGTACAAACAAAATAAAATTGAAATCAGTTATTTTTCAGACACCCTCAGCTGGTGCCAAAGCCCACAGCAGAACGTGCAGGCAGCCAGTCCCTTGGTGCCACAAGAAAGTAAACCACAGTTATCTCTGGGCAGCCAGGGCAAGATCTGGTAGATGGGCAGTGGGACAGTGTGTGGCATTCAATGTAAATTGCTTTGGTTTGCCCCAGGCCTCTCTGAAAAAAAGGTGAATCAAGCTGTGGAAAATCAAAATAAATCATACTGGAATGTTGTGTTCCCTAGTTCCAAGATTTGTTTAAAATGTATTTGCTTTATTTAAAATATATCAGATTTTTTAAAATGCATAATTACTTCACTTATCCAGGTGAGCTTCCTCTAAAGAAGCTTTTTTACAGCAAATTGTTATTTTTCTGTTGCAAAATGCTTGTTTTTCAAGTGAGCCAGTAAGATGACTTGGTAAAGGAACCTTTGTTAGCTGAATTTATTGAACTGCCTTGAAATTTCCAATGCCTGACTATGATTCTTGTGTGGCATTTTAGAGAGGAGTTTCCTGTGGGAAAGGCAGAGTGGCAGCTCCAGTGGCAGCAGGACTGTGCCTGCAGGAGCTGCGGAGCAAACACAGGACACACCACTGCCTCACCTCGAACCTGAGGCCTGTCCTGCAAGGAGGGCAGGGAGGGATTGCCATTGCCCAGGTGCTCAGCATTTCCTTTTTCCAGGGCTGCCAGTGACAGCCAGGGATTTGTGCCCCTGGCACTCCCTGGTTGCAGACCAAGCAGATCTGTGTTTGGTAAGAGTGTTTGATAACACTGTGGTAGTAAAAGCCTCTTGCACCAGGGCAAACTCACCATGGGGATCCAGAGGGGATAAAATCTTCACAGTAATGTTCATCCCATTGCTGCCAGCTGCAGGACTGGGGAGCAATCCATAATCCTCCCACAAAAAGCTGAACTGCTCTTTGGAAGAACAAGGAGGAAGTTTTGTTGCCAGCCTGGAGGTGCAGCAGAGCATGAGACACTGAACACGGTCCTTGGCTTCCACCTGCACACAGGAGCTTCTAAACCTGGAAGGAAAAGGTAGGTGGGAAAAAGATTTGTATGTTGGAGCATGTCTGAACAAGTACCAGCATCCCTGTGTGGGAATGTGCTCAAGGACAGTTCCTGCAGAGGTGTGCATGGAGCCTGCAATGTCAGGAGGGTTCTAACCCTTCCACCAAGGGCTGGTCACGCAAGTGAAACCTGCCTGTGTTTGGACTGGGGTCCTCTTGCCAGCTCTTCATTGCTGCTGCTGTTTTCTCAAAGGCAGAGAATATTTCTCAGGGCCTCAACTTCCTTTTAAAGGAGAGAATTTAAATTTTTCCACAAGAAGAAGAAGATCTGCCTAAATTGATTGAAATAAATAGCTGAGGCTTGAAGCAGTGAAGCATGGCTGTCTAAGAGTTGTTCTGCTTCAATTTCAACTTCAGCCCTACCCCAACTGGTCTCCAAGTAAACAGGTATCTGCTTTGCTCTGATATTTTTGTTCCATCACTTACAGAGCACATTGTCTCCTAAATTACTCACTGTGTGGTTTGGAGGAAATATATCAATCATCTTGAGTGTGTCCTTCCCTTCCTTTTGTAGCCTGTTACCTGCAAAGGGATGTGGCAGCAAGTTTTGTATGCAATGACAGGAGTAGAATTACCAAGGTCTTTTAGCCTTTAATCACATTAAAGGTGAAAAAATATTAAATCTGCAAGTAAAAGTAACTTTTTATCCTTTCTGAGATCAGAATTAAGCATGCCACAGTAGGAATAGCAATTCTTATATTCCAATTCACCATAAAATCTCAGAAATACTAAACAATAACCTGAGGATTTGATGAAAAATCTCTTCCAGCAAGAGCAAAAAGCATCTTTTCTTTCCAGTGAAGATCTGTACACAGGCATAGAGAACTCATTCCCAGCACACAGGATAACTTCAACAAGTGAGACTGCCTTGCTTTAACTTTACCTTTACCCTCACTACATGTCTGCCTTTAAAAATGTGCAAAATGAGTCCTTTCGGTTTTGGGGCCATGCTTTCCACATTCAGACCAGCTTTTCTTTGCAAAACACACAGCCTATAATTGGCCCCACATTCCTGCAGTGCAGGGAAAATAAGTGGCTAAAGAGGAGACTGCCACTTTCAGTACAGTATTTAGTCCTTAAAAAGCACTTAAAGGAATGAGAAACATTTTGAAGAGAAATTGTAAAGAATTTGAAGCCTTATTGCTTGTGAGTGTGTTGAGAACTTTTGCTAAAACATCTGTCCTTTGAGAGTGCTCTTTCTCCTGAAAAGGGCAACTGCCTCACTTGTGCTGATTGTATTTAAAAAGGGCAGAGCGAGGTTCCGCCGTACCCTTAATGGACAGGGGCTAGTGGCAAATCTTGCTCTTTCATAAATCTCAGCATTCCTCGTGGTGTCTGCCGTCAGAATCGATTAGGAGTGAGTGCCTGTGCTGCAGAGCTGTGGAGGGAGGCTGCTGTGGCTCCTGCAGTGCCACGGGGAGCCAGGCACAGGCTCCCCCTGCACCGGGCACAGCACCGGCTCCTCGCAGAGCCAGCAAGCAGGGAAACATGAGGGATGGCTGCTGGGGGCCAGAGCTGAGTCATCTGTAATATAATCATAAGGAAACACACATTTTTCCTGAGAGAAAATCAATAGAACTTTGCACTTTTCCTTGTAATATTTCCAGTCTGCGCCATCAGCCGCGGCTCGCTCACAGTTATGCTGCCATAAATCCACTGCGAGTTAATGGATTTCCACAAAAACCAATGGATTTACAGCACTGTAACAGAGCTGCTGCTACAGCCTTGCACATGTAAAAATACACGGAACAAAAGTAGTTTGATAGCACACAGGTGACCTTCAAAGTGCCAAGACCTAGTGAATAAAAAACAAAATTACCCAGTTTGTGGTGTGCTCCTTTTTTGGCAAAAAAAATGGAGCCTGCAGTGCTGAGAACCTTGCTGTGCGTGGCAAGAGGGCCAGACCCACTGAAGGGAAGATGGGAGAATGAGCAGCTTCACGCTGTGATAGAGAGTGCAGAAGAATGTCTGAACATGTCATTTGTCATTCATTTCCTGCATAAAACATTTTGGAGCCTAGTCTTGCTTAGAATTAGTAAGTAAGTAAATAATGTGCTCCCAAACTTGTGTGTCAAAACTAGGTTGGTTAATGTATGAGCTGCCTCCGTTGCATTTGTTACTCCACAGCAAATTTCATGCTTAGCCAGAGGCTGGCAAAGTTCATTTATTCATTATCCCCAAACTTTGGGCAGTTATTATTCAAACGCCCCTAGTACATCTATTTAATAAGAAGAGAACAGAAAATTGATGGGATCAGAAATGTTAAAGTCTTAATTAATGCTTTTAGCAAAGACTGATTGGAGGGGGGTTGTTGTGAGAATATTAATGCACAGCAAGCGTGTCTGGCTGGTGTCACTGAGCAGGGTTGGCAGAGCTCTGCCCTGCAGCCCCCTGAGCTCTGCACCTGGGGGACACCCCCTGCATCACCCCGGCGCTCTGAGCCTCCAGGGCAGGGAAAACCAGTGCTTGGGGAGCACTGAAATACCAGCATGGGGAATTACTGCTGGTAATGGGCTCAAATGGTGAAACATCCACTTACAGCAGAGTTAAGATGTGTGGTTCTTTCTTTTCTGCTGTTTCTGGGCTTCTGTGGTATTTCTGTGCAGTTCTGCAGATCCTGTGCTGCAATTGGGGCTGCTGGGCAACTGGGGGCTTTGCTGTGGGCACACGGGGACCAGGTTTGGGTTTTGTTCATGCAGGAGCAGCTGCAATTATTCCACAGGAAAATTAACAGGCCTTGAAACAACGGGAACAAGATGAAGGCTTGAAGAATCCCAGCAAGGCAGGCTGTAAGGATCCCCTGCCTCAGCCTGTCCTGCCCCAGCACAGCAGCTGTGTTTGATGGGATGGGGAGGAGGGAGGAAGGGCAGGGAATCCTCTGAATCCTTCCCCCTCAGAGAAATCCCCAGGGCCTTGCCTTGGAGGAATATACCACAGAGTTTTCCCCAGCTAGGCTGAAGAGAGGACCTAGCCCATGGTGTTCTGCAGCACTATTGCCAATCTACATTAGATTGCTTCTCCCACTGGCCAGTGGACACTGCCCATCCCAAACATTCATCCCTCATTGCCCCTACAGTTACTGCCCTTTGCACCACCCCTGTGCCCCCAGGTCACTGGTACCTAAGTCTGTGCAGACCCCATGGTTTTGTCTTTGTCCCTGATGCCTTTGGCGTGCTTTGGATTAATCCTCTGCAGGAATACACCATACAAAGATCCTTCCTGCCTTTCCTCTGCTGAGCTATCTGTGGTGTGTGTGTGCAGCAATTGTACCACCCTGCCACGCTGCAACAGGCAGGATGGGAGGTTGTCACTTAGTTAATACCAAGTTTATAGAAGCCAGCAACCTCTGCTGAGTAGAGATGGATAATATTATAAATGAAGCCAGTCAGGAAAAATATGTGCTTCAGATCGAGAACAATGACAAGCCAAAATTTAGCACTGAACAAGGTGGCTTTTTTAAGGATCCATGCAATGAGTGATTGAAACCTCCTATTTCTCCTCTGCTGACTGCCCACCTTCAAATTATAGCAATTATGGACATTGCAAATAAAACTCAGTTACATTAAGAGCTGAATCAAAGAGGACTGTGATGTGGAGTTAGTTAATGGATTTCCCTATTTGTTGAGTATAGATTTCCTTTCCTGTTATTATTGAACTGGTTCTTAAATCTCATATGAGAAATCATCTGTAGTGTAATGCAAACTAAACTACCAAGATCTTCATAAATAATTCAAAAATGTTTACAGTTCAATTGAAGATCATACTTTCTTAACAGGAAATGTTTGGGATTTACTCTGGAGAAGATGAGAAAGGGG